TTGTCTCATGAGTCATAAGAGATCATCTCAGAAGACAGTGGTTGATATATACATCTCCCTCACTTAATTGTTACTAAGCTCTCCTTATAAGAAAAAATACTAAAACTACAAATATATTCCTTATATCGAAGTTTGAGATGCGTTATCTCGTGGGTGTTAATATCATAGGAGGTTAGCCCATCAAGTTCACTTACGAAAATGGGTGTGTTAGAATCCCAGAATCCCTGTAAGTTAGGCCAACTAGTTAAAAAGTATTGAAAGGTAACAAGTTTGTTCCAAACACCAGGTTGGATCATAAACCACAAACCAAAGTCTATGCTCATGTCATCTTTGATCAAAAAGTGAATAGAGCCATCAATCAATATGACGTTGTATTGACGACGATCACTATATGGAACATCTGGCCCTGAAATCTCACGGAACACCTCATTGTCAAAATCAAATGAAAGAAGGCCGCAGTCATCTATCCACGTGATCATCCAGTAATAAGCTCCATTAAGGTAACCAGTTGAATCGGGATAAGTACAGGAGTAATAACCAGAGGTAGTGAGAATTCTGTGATCTTTATGTTTAATAAATCTCCAAGAGCCTTTAGAAGAGGAATAAACCGCTGCATATGCTCGATGAAACGAAGTTTCAAAGATATCATCATAGAACTCGCGAACCCAAATCACCTTGTAGTAACCTGTAAAAGGGTCTAATTCAAACCCGGTAAACCCACCCGATTCCCAGAAAAATGGTTGTAACAGGAAATGGGCGTCAGGGAGGGTGGTTACCCCCCTTGTTGCAGGATTCCACATTCCCATTCTACGATCAGATCCACCACATGCTTTTTTAAATAAAAACACGCCATTCACATGGCCTCCCATAAGATATGTATTAGCAAGAAAACTCGACAGATGATCAGCATTTTCAATTACAGGGGTTCCTTCCGAATTCGAAATTATGTCGACTCTGGGAATGTCATCATGGCTATGAATTAACATTTTCAGTTTATTCTTACTTTCATGATAATTCAACTGTTTACCAATCAACATATGGCTATTAATAAGACTGTACCAATTCTTGCTCGTGCATTTGAATCGCAACAACGGTTTCACAGGTAACCTTTGTAGTATCTCCATCGCCAAATCTTCACCGAAACGACGATCATTCTTAAACCCGGTATACATGTTCCTAATAGATCTTAATAAAAAACATACAGGAGGGGAAGAAAAAAATATATATAGTATTAAATTTTAATGGGAGAGAACTAGTGAATTGGCAGTGATTAGCGGATTGAATTAATGCTTTTATAATTTATTATTGGATAATATATATTTTCATGTTATGTATATAAATTGAATTAAATACTTAAATCACAAATAAATATATTTTTATTAGTGAAATCTTTGAAGATGAGAAGTATTGCATTATAGTACATTTTAATCCAAAATGGAGAAGATGACTTATTTTATACTCCGTAGTAGTTTTTTAGCATTAGTTTCTTTTTCTATTTTTTGTGGTAGAGTATTTTTAAACAACAGATGCAAAACAAAGTGCTTTAGGAATTTGATATTATGTCAAATGCATGCACTTGAATTGCAACATAGACAACCTCCCTTTAATTTCCTTGAGGCCGGTGGCCGTATTATCTTATAAAGAGAGGGGTGAACCACCTATTGCAGAAGCACTTGAATCGCAACAGGCAACATTTCCCTTTCTAAATCTTCAACGAGTCTGCATAATGCTGGTGGCCATATAAATTACACTAGTTTATAAAGTTGGAGGCACCCTATAATTCCTATACTTAACAGATACCAAGTAACTAAGAGAAACTAGAAAACAATACGACTCTACAATAGCTATTTGAGCCATGGCTAAATGTACCGCAATTAAATGGTTAAGCCCAACGCACTTGAAATTAAATTAGTAACTTACAAAAATAGTATAGTTACTTACTTGCAAGTTGCAATATTATGAATTTTACTAGATTTTAACTCATTAAATTATATCAGATGCTCACAGAGGAGTCAAATATGTTGGTCCAGATCCTCATTTACTCGTCCAATTGTTACTAAAGCTCTCCTTGCAATAATAAATTCTACACCTACTTCTCTGGCTCTGATATCGAAATCTAAAATGCCTCATCTCCCCAACCTGAGCATCAGAGGAGACCACCCGAGAATTTCTAGTAAAGAAAATGAGTGCTAGAATCCCAGAAGCCAATGTGAAATTACAGATATTCAAATTTTCTCATGGGGAGAAGGTTTGTTAAATAAAGACATCAAATTCTAGGTTTAAGAATTCAATGCACAGCCTTAAGAGACCTAGCAAGACTAAACTATATATACTCTTCTCGATGTTAATTGTCAATTCAATAGTGTCTTGTATTGGTATATTAACGTACGCAATCCCATTTGGAACAAAAAAACTTGAAGCCATGAATAAATCAAACTCATAAAAGACCGTTTTGATAAACCAAGTTGTCAACACTCAAACAATAGATGCAGCAATTGTGTAAAGCATCAATATTTCAATTGTTTATGGAGGAGGCAAGTATGTCAGGTAAGCTACAATGGTCTGTGTAATTGTTACTAAGCTCTCCTTATAAAAATAAACCATACATACAACCACAAATATCGCCCTGATGTCTTGTCTCATGAGTCATAAGAGATCATCTCAGAAGACAATGGTTGATATATACATCTCCCTCACTTAATTGTTACTAAGCTCTCCTTATAAAAATAAACCATACATACAACCACAAATATCGCCCTGATGTCTTGTCTCATGAGTCATAAGAGATCATCTCAGAAGACAATGGTTGATATATACATCTCCTTGATCACTTAATTGTTACTAAGCTCTCCTTATAATAAAAATACTAAAACTACAAATATATTCCGTATATCGAAGTTTGAGATGCGTTATCTCGTGGGTGTTAATATCATAGGAGGTTAGCCCATCAAGTTTACTTACGAAAATGGGTGTGTTAGAATCCCAGAATCCCTGTAAGATAGGGCAACTAGTTAAAAAGTATTGAAAGGTAACAAGTTTGTTCCAAATACCAGGTTGGATCATAACCCACAAACCAAAGTCTATGCTCTTGTCATCTTTGATCAAAAAGTGAATAGAGCCATCAATCAATATGACGTTGTAGTGACGATTATTACTATATGGAACATCTGGCCCTGAAATCTCACGGAACACCTCATTGTCAAAATCAAATGAAAGAAGGCCGCAGTCAGCTTCCCACCTGATCATCCAGTAATAAGCTCCATTAAGGTAACCAGTTGAATTGGGATAACTACAGGAGTAACAACCAGAGGTAGTGAGAATTCTGTGATCTTTATGTTTAATAAATCTCCAAGAGCCTTTAGAAGAGGAATAAACCGCTGCATATGCTCGATGAAACGAAGAATCACAGTTACCATCAGAGAACTGGCGAACCCAAATCACCTTGTAGTTACCTGTAAAAGGGTCTAATTCAAACCCGGTAAACCCACCCGATTCATTGAAAAATGGTTGTAACAGGAAATGGACGTAAGGGAGGGTGGTTAACCCCCTTGTTGCAGGATTCCAGAATCCCATTCTACGATCAGATCCACCATAGTCTTTTTGAAATAAAAACACGCCATTCACATGGCCTACCATATGAAATGTATTAGCAAGAAAACTCGACAGATGATCAGCATTTTCAATTACAGAGGTTCCTTCCGAATTCGAAATTATGTCCATTCCGGGAATCGCATCATGGCTACGAATTAGCATTTTCAGTTCATTCTTACTTTCATGATAATTCAATTGTTTACCAATAAACATATGGCTATTAATAAGACTGTACCAATTCTTGCTCGTGCATTTGAATCGCAACAATGGTTTCACAGGTAACCTTTGTAGTATCTCCATCGCCAAATCTTCACCGAAACGATGATCATTCTTAAACCGGGTATACATGTTCCTAATAGATCTTAATAAAAAACATACAAGGGGAAGAAAAAATATATATAGTATTAAACTTCAATGGGAGAGAACTAGTGAATTGGCAGTGATTAGCGGATTGAATTAATGCTTTTATAATTTATTATTGGATAATATATATTTTTCATGTTATTTATGTATATAAATTGAATTATATAATTGATAATTTTTATTAGTGAAATCTTTGAAGATGAGAAATGGAGAAGTATTGCCATTATACATTTTAATCCAAAATGGAGAAGATGACTTATTTTAAGTATTTTTTTTCTTTTTCTATTTTTTGTGTTGTAACTTGTATAGGAAGAATAAAAACTAGTAGAGTACTTTTTAAACAAAGTGCTTAATTTAGGAATTTAATAACGCGCAACGACTCAGGCCGGTGGCCGTATTATCAATGCAAGATTATCTAAAACTTCCACAAGAGACGTTGAAGAATCAAATAATAAAATTAGTAAAGGCTAATTATATCGCAGTTTAATTGAAGTTCCATCAAGGAATAATGCAAATTAGGAAATTGGTTGATATTACTTCTTCAAGCTTTATGGGAAATGCTAGACAACTTTTCAAAAATACAAAATCCTACAACAATTCAATAAAATTTTCCTTAAAATACGATATAACCTAAAAGGTCGCTTCATGTTTACTTCCAAGTTTCTTAAACAAAGTTTATTTTAAACATTTTATTTCGCAGCAAATCAACCCTGCCAGCAATGGGGCTTCTCCACTTCGAAAGAAAAGGCACGTCCAGTACTTTCTAATTGAGATGCTACAAAAGAAAAGCCGCTAATATGTAACAGATCTAAAGCAGCGATCACAAAAATATTTGCATTTTTCTCCATGTTGGAATTCGGAGATATGCACAATACCAGAAAACCAAGCAACAAACCATGGCACAAGAGATCAGACAAGAGAAACTTGATATTTGAAACCATGACTGGCATATTATGATCACACCATCTCAATTCTCAGCTCGATGCATTCTTCCGCGCAGCATAAACACGGTAAGCTGCCAGTCCCACAACAGCTACAGCAGCCCCAACTGTGACAGCAATAGAGTTAGAATTGCATGTCGAACAATGAAAGATGACAAAGCATCTGGACATATGATAAAATTTAAAGAAAGCCTGAATATAAAGAGAATTTGTACCCTCCACATGTGAACCATCATACCATCTTCAACCATAAACTACGACAAATCCAAGCAAACCATCCTAGCTGGGTGACAAACCAAAAAGACATGATATTTATTCTACGGGTGCTCGTTCCAATCTACTACTAGATAAATCCCCTAATGACCTCTAACCCCAGCCAGTTGGTACTTTGCTAATACGAAGAGAGTTCGGACTATAAGCTTGATGCTTTTAAACTCTGGAAGGTTGTTTGTAACACAAAACACTTCCTGTACAAAAAAAATCGTCAAATATTCCAAGGAAATATTTTTTGACTTGGATAACAAAGTAGTGGCAACTAATTTATAGGTTAGAATTACATCCCAGTGATTTTCTTTATCTAGAACTACGTTCCAGGTCATTGAAGTCCAAATAATAGCGCAGGGGGTCAAAGTCAATAGCTCTCAAGTGTTCTTCCAATGGAAATGTTTGACATGACGGCAGCAAAGTATAGGTTCTAAATGATCAAGACGCTTGAACCGTCTTGAACATAAATTTCAGCCCTACTAAAACCAAAAGAAACTGCTGTATCATCAACTGTTAACTTCCAAAGATAAGGACATCTTTTTTTTCACAAGAACAAGGAAATATACATGGTGAAACCCATAATAACGTTAGTTCTAATTATTTGTTTTCTGTAACTTGGTAGCCGTAAAAAGTTCTTAAAGGTCCAAAAAGAAATCAAATCAAATTGTTACCTGATACAAACATAAGAGATCGATTGACGAGCCGATGATATTGCTTACGGCTTCTTCCCGCTTCAGTTTCAGGGATGCTCAAATGTGGATGTTCCGCTGCATTAACTATCCTTCGGAACAAATTACTGAAATCCCCAAGCTTCGTGCTGATGGGTATAGGAGCTTCTATCCCTAAATCCTGGCTAACCTATTAAACAAATTCATCACGTAATTAGCAAATATCAAATTATACTAAAAATGTGCACTGCCTAACAACTTAAGATAATACATCATGTAGGTTTAGCCTCTACAGAAGATAAATTACACCAGGAACATGGATATACTCAATCACATGCAGCAGTACTAGCTGAGCTTCACTCTTCAAGAAAATTGTTTTGATATGGTGCAGCAATCACAAAAGTAAACGTCACGCAGGTAAAAGGCATTTCACTAAAAATGTCAGGAGATAAATACATTGAACCTGAATATAAAATTACTACTTGACAAAAAATATATTCAATTCTTGATGGTATGTAGGATAAGGATAGATACCCTGGTAGAATCTTGAATTTCGGTCAAATAAGGCTCCAGATCATCTTTAGCTGCTACAATGAGACAAGGCATCTCATACCCAGTGGCTTCTCCGTGGCTGGCAACATCCACCAGTAAATCTGCTGCTCTCTTCCAAGAAGCTTCATGAGAACTGGACATAAAAGGTATTAAGATGAGCTACTTCGCAAATGCAAGTTAATAAGAGTGAGGAAAATAGCTCTCAGGCACAGAGTCCAATATTTATTTTTAGAA